GAGCAAGGGCTGCTGCTAGGTTTTGAAGGGTTCCAGCTGCACAGGGAGATCTTCCAACCTGGCCCAGGCAAGGCTGTTTGCAGCAGAGCTGGCTTCCCCTCGTAGCACTCGATTTCTAGCACCCCTCTCTAAGTATTTCTGCTTCCTCCCTTTTCCATCCCTGTTGGCGCATGACTCCTCATGCCACATAAACTAAGGGGAGACAGGAACTTTACCTAGGGGAAAACACTTTCCTGGGCCACTGAAGTAGGGCCCTTCCAAGGCAGCTTCATCTTTGTGGAGAACTAGCAGCAGCAGAGCCAGTCTTGGTGCCCTCCTCCCAGGACGGGCAGAGGGCAAACAAGAAAAAGTCTCCTAAGTGCAGGCCCCATCCCATGCCACCAAAGGCCACTGGGCTGCAGCACCAGCCAAGCTCTGCCCAAGGACACTAGGCCTGAAGGCTGCCCCTGAGCTGCTGGTGAACGAACGAGACTGATATTGTCCAGATTGGCTCACAAGGGGCCCCATTTGAACGTCTCCTTCATTAAATATAGCCCTGTTGGCCAAGGCAGCATAGAAAAACAAAACAGAGGACAAGGACCTTCTGCAGCCTGTGTGTTTCCCATGTATTTCCCCCCTTCCTGCTCAGCTGACCACGGTCCCTCGCGGGGCTCTTGGGAGCTCGGGCAGCCTCCGAGCGCTGCAGCAGATGCACGGATTGGGAAATAGGAAGATGAGCAAGTTTCTAGCTGAGAGCACTGCCATGCCAGCTACCAAGAGGTTGGCTCTTGGGGTTTTTTTCTTTCCCATTTTCAAGCACAGCAGAACCCGCTCTTCACCAGAAAACAAATTCCACCTGGTGCTCAGCACAGGGCAGAGCACACCGTGCATCTGCAGCGTGCAAGAAAGCAGCCTGGTGATCTGCATTTGTCCAAAAGAAAAGTCATACAGAGAACTCACTACTGCTACAAGCCACACTGTCCTGTTCAGTTCTGGGCACAGCTGGGAACAAAATGGGGCAAAAATTGGCAAGCAGCAGCATATTTTTTTTTCTTCCAGCACATGTTTCACACGTTATTTGGCTAGATGAAAAGGCAGGACTATCTGCTCTGGCGTCCTCAAGAACGGCACCAGCTAGAGACATGTTGTCTTCTGCAGAAGTTACCCTTCTCCACAGGAAGGAGCCTGTAAGTGCTGGAGGTTAAACTTTGATTTTACACATGGTTTTACTTGTGGCTTGGATATGCAAAACCAACTTATATGTAAGCATCTAAAATTACCAGCATTTCACCATGCAATCTACAGAAAACCATATTCTGTTCAGGCAGAATAACTGCCAGCTGGAGAACTGCTACATCTTCAAGTATTTCTACTGGTCAAGCAGGTTACAAAACTTATGACTTTATAGGAAAAAATAATTAAAGTAAAAAATCATGCACATCCCATCACTGCAAGGAATGAGGTTTTTTTGTATTCCAGCCAGCATCACCTGCTAAATCGTGCCAATACCAACATTTAAAGAAAAGGATATAAAAAAAGTACAGGAAATACAGGAAAAAAAAGAGAAATACAGGAAAAAATACACATAGAAAAAAAAGAAAAGGATATAAAGCAATTATTTTAAAGGCTGCCTCTTGCACCCTCTGATGATCCTCAAGATTGTCCCTCCCTCTGCAGCAGGAGCCTTGTGGAGCTGTCGCCCCCGGCACACGCTGCCCTCCCTTTCTGTCAGTCACTAAGGCAGAAAGCTGCTACATTGGAACCTTTACCAAAGCTCTCCCTGATGTGGGGCAGCACGTATCAAACAGCAGCGCCCAGGGAGCTCACGCTCATCCACCCAAGGGGCGTTTGGAGGAGTTGGGTCTGTCTGGTTTGCGACAGGTCCCCGGCGAGGCCCGTGTCACGGCAGGACCCCGCAGGCCCTGTCCCACCTGCGGGCACCGCGTGCGCCCGCAGGGCCCGTGCTCACCCACGCAGAGGATGTTGAAGCTGAAGCCCTGCGTGACCGACTTGCTGACCAGCTGGTCGGGGAGGCTGTCGAAGCCCACATGGCCACCCAGGGCCAGGTTCCTCTTCTCTTCATTCTGCAGGGAGAGCACGGGGCAGCCGTTAGCACGGGAGGAAGCGCCGCGTCCAAGGAACCACCGCCCTCCCCGGGGACCGCAGGGCCACCGAGGCCAAGCCCTGCGCCCACCGCAGCAGCGCGACACAGCCCAAATACTGCAGCCAGCGGCCACAGAAAGAGAATAACCATGATTTTCATGAGAAATCATCTTAGCGCCAGAAACAAGCTATCAGCTACAAAGGAAAGAAAATATTAGCACGAGCTCCAACTTCATGCAGCTGGGAGATTAACGGAGGAAACCCCCACTGTGTGTTTTATCACTCCTTTCTCCTCCTCTATTTTATTTTCTCAAATCCTCCAGCCCTGCAGCATTCAGCCAGGCAGAGCCCACGTTTTCCCCCACACACTCCGTGTTTTTCCCTTCCCTTCCCGCTCCGCGAGCGCTTTGTTCGGGGCACTGCCTGCACGGAGCCAGCGGCACCCGCCGGCTCTGCCATCTGCGCCCGCTGCGGCTCCTCGGCCTCCGCTGTTCCCGTTCCTGCCTCCTCCGTGGCAGCGCGGAGCCATCACCTGTCCTAGGAGCTTCCTTGGAAGATTAAGGCTGGAGAAGCAGCTCCCCCCAACCTGGCTCGGCTCTCCTCCGTCCCCCACGATCCGGCCTTTCCGCACGGTCCCAAGGCACCGAGAGCAGGGAATCGCAGCCGGAGAAGGGACTTAGCTGCCCGACGAGCTTCAAATCAGTTCCCAAGAGGGAGAGCAAGGTGGGAAGTTAATTCCCACGAGGAAAATAAAAGAAACGGAGAGCTATGCTTTGCATAGCTGCTTATGCCTGCAACAAGACCCTAAACAAGGGTCTTGAGCACATACAAATGTGTTCAACTGCATCTCGAGGCAAGGCTTCCCTTAATCCTGCCTTTGGTTGCACAAACAAACATCCCCAGTTGTGCAAAATACATGATTTAAATCATAAGAGCAACTTGAAAACAGCCAAGGCAGCTACAGTGCACAAAGATTAATTTTTTGGCTGTCCTCATTAACATTTGTTCCCAGTTTTCCAGCGAAAATCAGGCCAGGGCTGCCGGACAGGAGGGTAATCGAATCACAACCGGCCTCTCGCCCCAATTGTGCTTCACTCCGATGGGATCGATCCTCCTCATTACCCGAGCGGAAACGGCCGCCACTTAAAGCTTTCCTGCGGGAGAAACTGAGTCAATTAAGGCTTTGCAGAGACCAAGCATCTACACAAGCACTAAATGGCTTAAAAAAGGACTTTAAAAACATAGAAGTCCCCAAGCTGCACTTCCAGGGAGACTGTCGGGAGGAGAGCGATGCTCCCGGGCCCCGGCGGGGATGCAGTGTTGGGGGAGCCCAACCTGCTCCTGCCACCCAGGACACGCTGCAGAGCTCCACACACCAGCTCCTGCCACCGCGAGGCAGGGACAGCAACGCGCATCGTTCCCACGGAAAGTAACCGGGTTTGAAAGCTGCGCTCCGGGGCGCTTTTTATTATTTTAAATAACAAACACAAAAACAAGCACACAAAAACACCAAACACAAGTCTGCAGTGACATTTTGGCAAGGAAACAAATAGAGGCTGCCTGTGGCTATGATTAGCATGAGAGTGCCCCAAGGCTGGCGAGATGTTTCCAGGCAACAGGCAGCACCAGGCTCCGCTGTTAAAATCGGCTCCGGCGAGGCCGCGTTGGGAACTCGGTCACGCTCCACCGGGAGGAAACCCAAGTGCGTTTGCACACACGGGGCTTCATCACCTCCCCTCCGCAGCGCTCGGCCGCCGCTCGCTACGGGACCAGAAGAGAACACCTCGGCGCAGCGCTGCGCCTCATCACAAACCACAAAGTTGGAGCGTCAAAATTCAGTGAAATATTTTTGGCCAGTGACCTCGCAATGCGCAGTTTCCTCCCTTTTGTACGGGTGATAATGACCTGGTGCACGTCCAAGACGCTGCTGGTGGAGCAGGGAGCCGCCCGCGCCGCGCTGTCACTCCGCTGCCAAAGGCGCTCGCTATCGTTGCCGTGTTAGGACAAACAACGACAGCAGCTTCTGTAAAGCCCAGAGAGCAGCAGAAAACATGATTTTATACCCCCTACACCAAGGCATCGAGTTCAAAAACTTGAGAGCCCGAGTGTGCAAGCTGTGTGTCTCTGCAAAGCCACTCAATGGCTGCAGTGACTCATTGTGGGGAGGAAGCTGACAGTGACCACTGCGAGCGGCTCCCGCAGGTACCTGTGACCGATTGACGGGTTCCAGCCCCAAACAAGGAGGCCCCTTTCAGCACGCGCCTGCTCTCCCAGAGCAGCTTGACACGGTTCAGCTGCTAATAAAGATGACAGCGTCATTGTAAAAATGACCTCAAAAACAAATAGATAAGGAAATCATCGATTGCCTGCTGAGGGCTTCAAAGCATCCAGGGCTTCCAGCAGGAGAGCCGTGCTGAAGAGTTCAGTATAAATAACTGACCCAGAACGCAAAGGCTGCCCTAAACGAGGGCAGCAACACGGGTTTGCAAAGGCCAAGAGGCTCAGCAGGATTTTCCCCGTGTTTGTGGCACCACCGAGCTCAGAGCTGCTGGTCCTGGAGCAGCAGGAGCAGCTCCCTTTGCCTGCACTTTCCCCTGTACCCAGGAGCTCCTGACAGCTCCAGGCGTGGATTCCCACCACATCCCGAGCAGCACCTGCCCCGATGCCAGCCCAGCCGTCGGGAATCTCCCCGCCTGAAGCTGCAGGGCTCGGACCACAGATCCAAGGGGATAACTTGCAATGAGGTGAACCCGCAACAAAACAAGTTATGGGCTTGGTAACAAACCCGAAGCCCATCGAACGCCTGCAGCCTGCCGCAGAGGCCGCGTGCATCCCGGCAGCGCGGGCGAAGGGCACCCGGGGCCGCCACGAGCGCCCAAAGGAAATCGATGGCGGGGCCGCCTCGCCGGCGCGGGCCCGCGCCC